CTATTTTGACTTTAAGGCTCGATGCCAACAATTTCTACACCCACAATCAAGCCCCTACACCGTCTTGACATCTCATCTTTATTCAACGTATTATCAACGTTGATGACTGACATCATCTTGACATCAAGGGCCGACGCTGTCTCTACATTGAAACCCAATGCCCATTGCAGAACATTGATGCTCAGCTTTTGATAGCATTGTCATCTTTCCTTTCAATGCCTGACACGACATTCTCACTTGACTCTCGATATCTTAATATTAATCATTTTAAGCATGGATTTTAGTTAAATGACTTATTATTTCTTAATTATTCTTAATATTCTGCTTATTCAATTTCTTTATATCATTTTTAAGATCTAAAAATTATAATACCGTGTCTAACTCATGTTTGTGTCCTATATTTTCATTATTTGATGTGTCCCATGTTTGTGTCATGTTTGTGTCATCATGTCTGTGTATGCATCATAGATATAAATTTGTAATTATCACTTTATATAGTGTGGTCAAACTCTCCTATAAAATAACCTTACAATATTTGTATAAAGATTTTTCTTCCAAGTAGAAAGACATATATATGTGATTACATGGCTCCACTTTTGAAAGTAATTTAATATTTTTCTTATTTCTTAAAATATATATCCACTATTGCAATATTGTAGGTTACTACGAAAATCAACTATAACCTAATTACCTAACCTATTATATTTCGATCCCCCATACCATACTATCTAGATTCTTCCCAATGACTATATACTATGAGAATTTATATGTTTGTTTAAGTCGCCCCAATAAAAATCTTTTCTTTTGCAAGTATAAATTATAGTTCTCAAAATTAATTTTTTAAATTATCTTTTAAGCCAATTTTAGGAATAGTAACACTATTTATATTGATAATATATTTTTTTTTTTACTTTTAATTGTCTTAGTAGCAAACACCCTATCATTAATGTAATTCGCTTCAACATTTATGTTTTAAGTTTCTAACCATTATCAGCCCAATCATATTTGTTTTTTTTTCCTTTTTAACATACAATAATTTTCTCTAATGTGCTTGGAGTTTCCCCTTCTATTAATTTTTGAATATTCATTCATAGTCCTCAAATTGTATCTAGCAAATATAATTTTAATTTTATAACTGTGAACCCTTTCTTACTTACCATTGTGGTGCATCACTCGGGGGTGGTATACTAGTCAACTCTTGTCTACTTTTAATTGCAATCAGGTTAAGTTATGGTATGTCACTTGCGTCTGACATCTTTGATGGCCTTTTCTATTTTTATCTCAATTTGATGATGCTGAGACACTTCATCCCCTTAAGCTCTTGCCCACTCCTCATCACAGTTGGGTTTCATGATAGCTTGTTACCTCCAAGGAACGCCTAACACCGATAACATTCAAAATTAGATTCATTCTTTATTAATTTGGCATAAGTGTTGATTAATTGTTGATTTGATATTAATACTGAACTTTTCTCACTTGGCCTGAGATTAGCAATGTCCATTTTAGATTAAAGCAACAAAAAAAAGTCTAAAATAGTACGAAGACATATTCACATAAAATATAGTGGATGATATGATGTCCCTTAGTTTGTGAAGCCAGTGATGAATCTAGCAGTTTCTTTGAGATAACCACGAGTAGTAAGCTATTGAAAACACATGTTGGTGGGTTTCTTTGTATGTGTTGTCTGAAAAGAGGACTTAATGATTATTTGTTCGCCGGAATGCGAAGTGAAAATGTTTGTAGACAAAAATCCTATAAAACAGCTTTCAAGGAATGGGTCAGACCCGACCATTTCTCAAGAACAATAGCTAAGGGTCCTGATGCTACCACTTTGATTTGGAACCTATATGATGTTGCGTATGATTTCATTAGTCATATCATTGATTTGGAGGAGATCTCTTGAAAAGTATTTAGTGCTCTTTTTGGCCAACTCTTTATTATCTCTTTGGCTGAGTGACATGTTCTCTCATGAAGCCCATTTTTTCAATTATGAATCATGACTAAGTGATCTTACTCATATTACACTTATTGCCCAAGCTGTTTGGCCAATAGGAGGTCCAAAAATATTGATGGGGATGTGGATGGTGGTTTTCAAGGAATACAAATAATCTTTGTTTTTTTTAGATTTGGCGAACATCTAGAATCAATCATGAATTACGACTCTATTTTACCGTAATTGATGCATTGTTCTTTGCATCTTTAATTCCTTTTGCTATTGGTTCCATTATCACAAAGTCGCTCCTAAATTGACTTGGTTCCAAGATGTATAATCTATGTTAAATCACAACTTAGCTAAGTTACTAAGACTTGGGTCTCTTTCTTGGTCGGGACACCAAATCCACGCATCTTTACAGATTAACCTATTTCTTGATGCTAGATTTGATTTTAAAGAAATATCATTTTCTCATGAATATATCTTGAATCAGGATCTTTTGGCTCAACCCTATCTAAGTTTTGTCGACCTTGAATCCTTTTGTCGTCGCAAGGCTGGCTAATCGTACGTAGCAGGAGCAAGGGAAATCCCCTGGTTCTGGAAGACACATGAGTCCGAATGCTATGTTGAATGTGCGGCCGACACTACACTACATAGCTACCTGTGTAGGTGAGGCGTCGATCGGTCCTAGAAATGGAAGCAACGGCACAACGATAACACTTTATCTTTCTTAGCGTTTTGTGGAGGATTAGATCCAATAACAGGGGTCTTTGACTGAGTGATATTACACACCATCATTTAGCTATTGCGATTTTATTCCCGATTGCAAGTCACATGAATAGGACTAATTGGGTCATTGGTCATGGCCTGTAAGACATTTGAAAGGCTCATAGAGGTTTATTTACGTTGTTATGACATGCTCAATTATCTTTGAACCTGACTATATTAGGTTCTTTAATAATTGTTGTAGCTCATCATATGTATTCCATGCCTCTATCCATACCTAGCTGTTGATTATGGTACATAATGTCTATTATTCACACATTATATGTGGATCAGGGGGATTTCTTATAATTGGCGTTGCTGAACATGCAACCATCTTTGTGGTAGGAAACTATGATCCAACTACTTGATACAACAATCTATTAGATTGTATCCCTACACACCATGATGCAATTATATCACATCTAAATTGGGCATGCATATTTTTAGGTTTTCACTGTTTTGACTTGCATATTCATAATGATATTATAAACGCACTAGGGTATCCACATGATATGTTTTCATATACTGCTATATAACTATAACTCATTTTTTCTCAATGGATACAAAACACCCATGCTTTATTGCCTGATGTAATAGCTTCTAGTGCAACAAGAAGTATCAGCTTACTTGGGGAGGTGGTGAGTTGGTAGCAAGGGGCAACAAAGTTGCTTTGTTACTTATCCCATTAGGAACTGAGAATTTTTTTGTTGGGGATGGGGGTGGGGGGAGGGGGGCATGCCAAGTATCCACCTGGGATTATGTATTCTTAGATCTATTTTGGATATACAATGCAATCTTGATAGTAATTTTCCATTTCAGTTGGAAAATGCAGTTGGATGTTTGATAATCTTGCTAAAAAATTTCCTATAGCTTCTCAGCCTCCGCCTGAACCACTTATCTTCTACCAATGAATTATTCAATTTTTATCTCTAACATTTTTTTTGTCAAGTTCTGCCTCATCATCTAGGGAAGCATCTACTTATAGTTAGTCATCATAATGTAGTTATATTGCTAGCTAGTTGCATTCGCCTTCATGACTACACAGTGGAATATGCTTGCTGAAATATCAATCATTTTTCTTTGCAGCTAATCTAAGTTATTGGGTGTCAAAAGAATAATCTATAAATCATGATGATAGATCTTTGTACAACAATGAGGCCTTCCTCGGTGCCAGTCGAGAAGTTGGCATCTCACCACTTATTTCTATATACATTTTTTAATTTTTTTAGTAGTGGAGGCTCTACAATTTCCTTGCCTTTACCTTGGACTTCTCTAGGGACTTATTGAACTAATCCCTCGACCATCGCCTTGGCCTCCTCTTTTATAAGTCAAATTTTTGAAAACTACATTTTGATCTGCAACAATCAAGAATTTATTCACAAGTCATTATAAGCCTAAATCATAAACCGTCTTCTTCATAATATTTCTATTGTTGTGTTTTAGTTTCCCTATTTTTTCATAATTTTTTGGCAGTGGCGAAATTCCTTAAGAAATTGGCACCTAACGGTACAAGTGGGGGTTTTGGTACTATCAGGTGTCTGTTTTATAAATCGATTTCAACAAAATTTTCTAAATAAAATAAGTTATTTTATGGATAATTTTCTATAATTTTTGTAGCCCAATAAGTATTTACATGAATTTTATATTAAGAATTGATTATAATATTATTATATTAATATTAAAAAACAAAAATATCAAATAGCACTTACTTATGCCATTAACTCATTTCATCATTCACTTTTAACAGAGTAAGGAAACAGAAAAAAGGGAATTTAGGAGAAAAAGAGAGATAGAGAAAATTTTAGTTTTGGCAATCATAGAGTGATTTTCGTCAATCGATCCAGTTGAACAATTTGCTCGTCTCGTTGTAGGTTACATTTTGCCTATTTCCGATCAAATTTGTATTTTTGGTATTTTTCCGATCAAATTTGTATTTTCATTACCGAAAAACAATGATAATTTTGTTTTGGTAAAACTTTCACCGCGTAAATTTTTATATGTTATAGAGATTGTGATTACGAACATTTTAAGTATATTCTTGAAATTTTTTCCCGGGTGATTTTGAAAAGCTGTGATTTTTGCCTACTCAAAAATTTATTTTGACATCTAAATATAGTACTTCAGTTCAATTAAAACTTCATAATGATGTTTTACACAATTTGTAATAATTTGGTTATGTTTGAATTGTGAATTTTTACTCTGTAGTATTCCTATTGTCTATCGTTGGGGCATTTTGATAATTTTTGAATTTACTACAATTATGCTTTAATTAATAAAATGCATTGAAAAATATGTTGTAAAGCATTGTAATGTGATACCGACACCAGTGGACAACCGAGGTAGGATTCTGTTACGCCGGCGCCAGTAGGCGACCAAGGTGGGATTCTGTTATGGCGGCGCCAGTGGGCAGCCGAGGTGGGATTTTGTTATGCCGACGCCAGTGGGTGACCGAGGTGAGATTCTGTTATGCCGGCGCCAATGGGCAGCCGAGGTGAGATTCTATTATACTGGTGTTTTTCTGTTATCCAAGTGTTGTTATGCCGAAACCAATGGGCTACTGAGGTGGGATTCTATTATGAAGTATTTGCTTATAACTCAGTTCATTTCAATATATTTAATTGTATTTAATTTTAGTATATGATTCAACACAGTGATATCAGCTCTTTTGGTTTTGATTATTGATTTTTATTTTAGGCTATGATAGCCTAATGAGCCATGTTAGCTCATTCCTGCTTTTAATTTTGTTTTTAGACCTGGGGAAGGGTAAGGGGCGAGCTGAGTAGTTGGGATAGTAGGCTCTGATTTGTGCTATAGGTATATTTTATTAGTTTTGATTTTTGCAGACTTGACTTTTATTTTTTTGTTGTACTCTATACTGCCGAGCACTGTTGTAGATAGATTTTAGATTATATATGTTTTGGATGATATAGAAAAAAAAATTATGTTGCGATTCAGTAGTCTTCCACCTTATATTGCATTCAATAGTAGCTCTGTGTGGTATATAAATTGGAAGTTTTGTTTCAGTACTTCTCCAACCAGATCTTGGGGTCAGTCTTGTCACAATCAGATATTCAGATATTGTATGACTTGTGTGTTATCGGGTCATATCTGATTGGGTTGTGACATCCTCTTTCCTTATTCGATGCAATTTTGTGCTTGTGGTATGTTAGGAAGGAACCTCGCTAGTGTTGAGGACTTGGACTGTTGTAGTGGGTAGTGGGAGATTGTTGAGGAGTGCTTGCTTCAACAGGGGGATCAACTTCTTTAGATACAGAGTCATCCACCTCTTAATCCTTGACTAGTGACTCAATAATTTCAATGTTAGAATCCTCTTCTTCATATTTGTTGAATTTAATTATAAATTTCAATTGCAAGTCCTCTTGACCAAGAGTAGATCATCCTCATCCACATCCCCTTTGTTAATTGCCTTCTTAAGAAATTGGCCAACTTCAGGTTCTAAAGAAAGGACATCATTTGTAAAGCTACACCAATAAAAATAAAAAATAAAAGTAAATGAATTTCTTAAAGAACTCGTCTTATAGTATCAGTCCTATGTATCTCTGCTAAATACGAAAAAATTCTAAGTAAAGAAAGAAGGAACTTGCGAGCTTGTAGTTGCTCTAGTAGATTGTAATCAATCTATGTCTCCTCCAAACTGAGGTCATTCATCTCAGTGTATTGGGCTCATTGATCTTTGCCCAAGAGGGGAATCTGGGACCTCTCTGCTGAGAAGGGAAACGGCTAGTTTAAATCAATCACTTCTTGGTTGACTTCTCAAAAGAGATAGTATTCTTAAATTTTTTATTTTATTATTGCCGACCATTTTGATTTTTTTGGAGAGTAGAATGAAACTTTTTTTAAATGCCTTCATAGAGAAGGGTGGAAAAAAGTAGGATTGACCATGGGATCTTCTTCTTCCTCATATAACAAACTAGGTTCATTATCATATTTGTCAACAACGAATAACACAGTATAGCGCAAAAGTCCCCATGGTGCCATAGCACAAAGTGCATGTCATTTTAAATATGACAAAATATTTAAAAAAATTATGAATCAAAATATAAGTAAATATAAAAGATTATTAAATTGAAAAGTAAATCATCATGATAATAAAAACAACAAAAATGATGCTTATGTTTTAGTGTTGAACACCTCATCCACATAAGTTCCAGTGTAGTTTGAACAAAACTCGACATTCTTTTCAATACCTAATTGTGATGGAGATAACTAATACAAACATGTGCACCATAGAATCTTGGAGAACAAAATAAAATTTGGAAATAGCAAACTCAACATTAGAGGAAAGAAATGATCCCTTTATTGAAGAAGTTGAGTCGAGTCACTACAAAGTGTGTGACCTCCGGTACGGGGAACTCAAGAAATGCTGCTGTTGGCTATGCAAGGAAGACAAGGTGGCCTGTTGTGTGTGGTGTGCTTGGCCCAATGGGATTGAGGCCAAGCGACAACTATGCGTCTGAGATCGTGCTGCTTTAGGATGCATAGACACGAATGCTAAGACATGAATACGAGATGGATGCGAGACATTTATTATTGAAAATATATGATACAGACTTGCGTTGGACATGACACTATAATTTTATATTTTAAAAATTTAAAATAATGCATATAAATTAAATGAAATAATAAAATAAAATTATAGTGTTATTATGGTACTCATTTTTTTATCACATATTGTACAATACACAAAGTTATATACAAAATATCACAACTTAAAAAAATGCAGATAAAATCAGTGCATTAAAATTAAACGGTATATTATTTGAAAATTCGTTTATTAATGATATTTTGTTTTGTATTAAACCTATGTAGTTATAGCTAATCACTATTTATTAGGAGGGTTCATCAACGTTCTATTTGAGAATTTGGTTTTTATTTGGAGGACCTTAGGCTTCAGCATCGATAGAAGAGGATGTCCATCATTGCCTCATTGGGTTTTTGGGTTAGCTTTTGCATTGAGAGGGGAAAAAGATGACGGTTGTTGGACTTTGGAGTCAGGCTTTGGCATCGAGAGCGGAGATGAATTAGGGAGACGAGTTTTTGCGAGAGAAGTGTTGGAGAAAGAAATGAAAATTTAAAAAGTGAGATTTTTTTATAAAATCTTAATTAAGTTTTTATGACACGAGTGTCGAACATGTGTATTTGATTTATTATTATTATTTTTTAATTAGGTACGTGACAGTTGTGTCTGACATCTCAGATATACTGCATATCCCTTAACATAAAGTGTCAGCGCATCATAAGTGCAACTACTATGCGTGCACGGTCAAGATGAGGTCAGAGGAGTGCGTGCATAGAAGGGGTTGTGCCAATGAGATGATTCCCTATTTGAGGGAGACGATACAATGCATGCACAATGTCTGAAATTGAGTGATCGGGTATTGAGGCGTTTTCTTTCCATGAGGCAAAATATATCAACTAAAAAAAAGTTTTAATACCTATTTTATTTATCCAATCAAAATTACATTTGTCATTTGGCATCACAAAAGGCGACTTGTAGTCAGAACTGCGGAAGAAGAAAAGAATTAAATAAAAATTTAAAAGAAGGATTAACAGAGATTTTTTTTGGAGATCTTGCCACTAATAATAAATTGTCTCAAAATGAACTCACCTTTGGCCATGAACTGATCTGATTTGATTTTGTGAATTCCATGCATCTTCAGTTAGCTGTGATTTTAGCTTTCATAACAACTACTTGGCAGAAAGTCTCAATAGAGTCGGCGAATAATACCTTCATTTTGGTAATGTATTTGTTGAAGTTGATCCTTTTTAGATCGTACTTGTTCTTCATGGAATACATGCATGGACAAGTTTAGTTGGTTGATTTAAGAAAAAAATTCAACTCTCTTTAAGGATGCCACTTAAAAAAATTCCCTGAGAGTGTTTGACATTGCACTATGTACATCCCTTGAGATTGCACTATGTACATCCTGCGAGCATCCTCTCAAAGTTTAAGTTTCTGCCTTCCTTTTATCAGTAGTTAGACCAGCGATTTTTCTTAGAGTTTCTAGCTCTAGGCTGGCTAAGTTTGAAGGTGTCTTTGAATTGTTCTCTGCAACAAAATCAACCAAAAAGGAGTTGGAAGAGGAAGTATTTAATCTCGAATTATACTTCTCTAGAAGATTATTATAAAATTTTACTCAAGAAGTTGAGCAAGTCGCACTCTTAGCAGCTTTTGGTCCGAGTTTAATACTTGGCTCTTCACCAATGATCAGAAGTGTTTGGGTGACTTCAATTGCCGCTGCTTCAACATGCAGCTGTGCGACTTCAACCCCAGTATTGTATTAGGTGGCTGGATGACTTCAATCTCATCTATCTCCATGGCGGCTGAGTAATATCTATTTTTGAAAGAATCACCACTTGATTTATTTCTACTCTTTCCTCAGTAAGCACTTTGCGAGTTGGAGGTTCAGTAGCTGACATCTTACTTAAAAATCTCGCTCATAGAGAAAATAACTACATTAAAGTTGGTTAGCATAATTAAATTTATGCAAATTATTAACTTTTCAGTTTTTAAAAATATCAATATCTCTTCCTATTTCAACTTTAACTGGTGAGAGGGCAATCATTGGTAGAGCATCATCCTTTTCAACATAAGCAGGAGTGAAATAATGCTAATCGATCAAAGACTTTGATGAGGCAGTGAGCTCTTGGATACCCCCTTCGACTTTATCTCTTTTTTATTATCAATTTCTTCTTCTTTTTTCTTTTTGAAAGAAATTCTCTCCTTTTTATGTTTGTCAAACAGGTTTGAAACTATATCATCCTTGGAAATATTGATTTTATCCTTTGGAACTTCCATCTTTTACTGGTATAGGTGAATGCAGATCTCAAAGCATTTGAATGAGAAACAGTAATCTCATATTTATAGGCTGTGTTTAATGACGTGGACAAAAGGAAAATCAAAACTTGCCATCAATTGATTGATTAATTTCTAACATTAAAATAAACATTTATTAGAGTTTTATGAATAAGTAATAAATTCTTTATTCTAATCAACGGAATGCCTTAAAAAAAATTCTTTATTCTTTTCATAGCAAATTTTCAAAGAGGTAAGAAAATCGGGGAACTACATGTATATTCAAATATCTAGAAAATTGAGTTCAAGACAAGTCAGCCTAGTTCAAGCTAATTTGACACAATCTAAGGTGTGAGCTTGATGCAAGCAAAAAATGGAAAAAATTCTAATTTTTGCAAGTTAAAGAAAATACTTCTTAGGAACTTCATACAAATAAGGACACCATTCCAAAATACCATATTAAGAAAAAATACAACAAAAGACGAAAGAAAAATTCACTTTTATAATAGAAAAATTCACTTTTATAATAGAAAATTCTAACCTAGGCTTTGATACCAAATTGATGCAAGAAAAAATTAGAAAAAATTCTATTGTATGCTAGCAAAAGAAACACTTCCTAGAATATTCAAAAGACTCCACTTTAAACAAAATAGAAGACCACTTTATATCATATA